TCCTAAATCTAAGATTTTGTCTAAGGTGGAACTTTTCCATGATGTTACATTCATAATTTTTCTGTATATCATACACAGAAGGCTGTTCACAGTGCACTGTTTGCCAGCATAAAATCCATATCGTTCTATATTACCTTGATTAAAATTACCAGATATACATATCCTTTCAACTTGTCTCTTTCTACTTTTACTAAAAACAAAGTTCTCTTTACTCTTCTCTTTGATTATGTTACTAGAAACATGTTTTACCTTGCTTTTCACAGGTATTTCTACTTTTTCATATGAAATTTCTGTAGGACTATCAGATTCATGGACTACAAGCAATTCATTGACATTTTCTTTTGAAACTTTATCATTAAATCTACTGGCTTTAGAATTTGATTTTGCAACATATTCCTGATCATTATGATCTACAATTTTTGTACATTTATCACCAGCACTTTTTCCATTTTTGCTTATATTAGCTAACAAAGCAGCTTTTGATTTCTTTGGACGACCCATATTGATTCACTTTCAAGGTAATACAAAAAAGAAGTGTAAAACTTGAATTCTCTAGATAATTTAAATTAAAGGGTTGAATACCAACTAGATCTCTCTAGATAATCAAAATTGAGATACCAATAGCAACTAGATTTCTCTAGTAATAAAAATTGAGATATGAATAGCAACTAGATTTCTCTAGATAATAAAAATTGAGATATGAATAGCAACTAGATTTCTCTAGTAATAAGAATTGAGTTTTGAAAAGCAACTAGATTTCTCTAGTAATAAGAATTGAGATATGAATAGCAACTAGATTTCTCTAGATAATAAAAATTGAGATATGAATAGCAACTAGATTTCTCTAGATAATAAAAATTGAGATATGAATAGCAACTAGATTTCTCTAGTAATAAAAATTGAGATATGAATAGCAACTAGATTTCTCTAGTAATAAGAATTGAGTTTTGAAAAGCAACTAGATTTCTCTAGTAATAAAAATTGAGATATGAATAGCGACTAGATTTCTCTAGTAATAAAAATTGAGATATGAATAGCAACTAGATTTCTCTAGTAATAAAAATTGAGATATGAATAGCAACTAGATTTCTCTAGATAATAAAAATTGAGATATGAATAGCAACTAGATTTCTCTAGATTCTTTGGCTCTGTTAAAGTAAAAGTTCGCCACACTTTCACCGCTTAGTTTAGAGTATTTTGGCTCTGTTAAAGTAAAAGTTCGCCACACTTTCACCGCTTAGTTTAGAGTATTTTGGCTCTGTTAAAGTAAAAGTTCGCCACACTTTCACCGCTTTGTTTAGAGTATTTTGGCTCTGTTAAAGTAAAAGTTCGCCACACTTTCACCGCTTAGTTTAGAGTATTTTGGCTCTGTTAAAGTAAAAGTTCGCCACACTTTCACCGCTTAGTTTTGAATATTTTGGCTTTGTTCAAGTAAAAGTTTGCAACACTTTCACCGCTCTATGATCTTCTGTCTTTCCAATAAACCAAACCTGCAATAATAAAAAATAATATAATCAAGTAACATACACTTACCTGCTTTCAACACAAAATATAGAAATTTTCCAATGTATCAAACTGTTCACAATAAGTAAAGGGAAATAACTCACTAATTGTTTACCAAGAAGAAGCAAATATTGTTTAAATATTACAATTCATCAATGTGAGAATTTAACCAATCTGTTTTTATCATTTTGTATCGCTCATTTTGAAATTACACCTACATTTGAATAATCAAACACAGACAATTTAAATATATTTAAGCTCCATCAATTTCAAACTCTAAACCCATCACATTTTTACACTAGCAATTATTATGCACTGCACATTCACTTCATTCCAAAACTATGACTCAAAATACCATTCATAAAAATCACACCAAAATGTACATTTCATGACTTTTAAAAATGAAATCACTTTTTTATTTTTATCAAACAATGTATCTACAAACTTATCACAAATAAAAAGACCACATCTTCAAAATACAATCATCATCCATATACAAAGTTTATTTGGACCATTTTTCTATAAGCTACTTCAAAATCAGTAAAAGTTAATTTATAAGACAATTTTTTACAAAGCATTTGCCTTTACATTCACAATTCATATTAACAAATTCTTATTTTAAAGCTATATCTTACAATATTATATTTTTTGTAAATGACTTACAAATTAATACTTATTTGCAAAATGATGTCATTTTTCTCTTTTAGTAAAATGTTTTCCCCAAAATACTTTCATTTACAAATAACATGTCAAATGAAAACACCATTAATTTTATTTCACACATACATGCATTTTAAAATGAAACACAATTTTTCAAAACAAAATCATTACAGTATATTTCTATATTCAGCAAAGAGTCCTCATCAACTTTCACCTTTTTGGGTTGTTTATTTTTCTTTTCAATATGCATCATTTAGCTTCAAAATTTTATAACACTTACCAAGTATCCTGAAATATATATAAAAAACAGTTATATATTAAAATATCCAATGTTTTATTAATTTAAACACACACACTTTCAACAACAGCAATAATCCATAAGAATAAAGAAGTATGCAAAACTATTTGTCTATTTTTCACTAACTTCATTCTAGGATGATAAAACAACACACAAAATCTGAAAATAATTGTAACTTTTACATTTGTACAAGCATTGTACACAATTGGACCACCAAAAACAAACCACAGTCTGATAGACATGAGTAACACCAATCAATATAAACACTAATTGAAATAAAGATCATCAGTATCACAACAGAAAAAACTTACCACAACCAATTAACAACAAAAACTTCAAATCACTGTCTCTTTACCTACAAAAAATATTTCTAAAAATTAAAGCACAACATTAAAAAAGTATTCTTTTATAATACCCATTTCAATTCAAACTAAGGCTGCAACGTTTCTTGAAATTGCAATTCAATACACTATATGATACTCAACAATACAATTTATTGCAATAATTATCACATTTCATTTATTACAGAAAGAAAAAAAAATAGTAAAAATGTGTTAAAGTACTATCAAATTTGTCACTATGAAACACATGAAAATATCTAGAAATAAGGAATTGTAATAAAATCACAATTTTTAACTCAGAAATGAATTTTTGCAAATTTTGATGTGAAATAATACTTGTAAAATAAAAATTGACACTATTTCTTAAACACACAAAGATTCAGTGTCATTTGTCACGCTTACTTTTATCAAACACAATGGATCAATAATATGGAAACAAATCGCAATTCATCGATTCATCAGTGAATCATTGCAGCCCTAATTCAAGCCAATAATTTCATTAAATATTCTTGTTTTGTGTTTATATTACAGAAGATTACCAATTCCAAATACCAACAAACACTATATCTTTCTACTTTTTTCACTCTTTTATAAATTAAAATTCACAAGCTAATTCAAAATCTAAACCATTCTATTTTCATTTTTTGTTTTTTTTGCAAACCAGAAAAAATGACTTTTTTAATCTCCACACTGAACTTGAACAAAGAAGCAATAGTGCTATATGATATTCTTAAATAAATGCATAATTGTACATCTAATCGCTAAAAATATATTGTTGCCTTGGAAACCAAACCTAATTTGGAATAGATCACACTTACTTAATCTAACTGTAACAACTGATCAAACCTGAAATAACATAAAATAATCCATAACCAATTTTACAAATCTATAAATAGAAAACGTACATTTACCTTAATACCCCCTAATGTAGTCTGATCAACCTTGCTGCATCAGCAAAGATTCAACAACATATAACTACAGCACAATTCATATTTCAATACACCCATGTGTAACAATGAAAAGTAACAATTTAGCTCAGTACTTTTGCAACACATTATTAAATTTCATTCAATTGGACAAAAAAAAACAATAGGGATAATACTGAGACTTTAAAACATCTAGACCAGACCATCCAGTCTCTCCATTCAAATGACAGATGCACTGAATACCTGTTCAAATATTTACAAATGTACAATAGGAGCATTAAATTTCACTTTATTTCATTATCTGTTGTTGATCACCAATGCATCCATAAATACCGGTACTTATAATGAAACCAGGACATAACACGTAATTTTACTATAAATCTGACTTACAAAATCAATCTGCAAAAACAAATATAACAGCCTGAAAAAAAAAAGATAATCCATGATCAACATTTATAAAAACCGAAAACATAAATTATTACAACAAAATGGTACATTTTGTCTTCAAGTCATATCGCCCAGCTAAGGTTGTCACAACGACCAATACAGACTACATGCAACCAGTGATTTAAAACCACAATCGTTAAGGTTAGTTTATTGTATACATCACCATGATGTCCACATGGCAAAACATCAACGCAAAACGGGTTAGGCCTAATTCAAATAAATGAGTTAATGATATAAAATATCAATAAACAAATGGAAGCCAATAAATATTATACATCCAATGGGTAAGAAATATTGCCTTGTAAGTCAAATATAAGTTTAGAATAAATCACACTTACTTAATCTAACTGTAGCAACTAATATCACAACCTAAAACAAAATATAATAACCCATAACCAATTTTTACCAACGAAAACGGGCATCTTCTTTGACAGTCAAATCGCCCAACCCCTTACCTGATCACCATTGCTGCATCTGCAGAGGATAGATTAACAAGCAAAGGCGATTTATTTCATATTTCGAATTCCCATCTGTTCTAAAAATAAGTATATAAGACTTCTACTTTTGCTACAAGCTTAAGCATTCCCAATGATTCATAAATAAAAGAAAACACCCACAGCCACACTTCGATACGGTCCGGTAAGAATGGACATTGTCATCTTCTATCATTATCATTTTGCTACAAAACCATAAACCTTCAGACAACCGTTACTAATTAGAATCCAGAACACATATATAAATATACAACATAATACAACACTTACCTGTCAATCGTCAAAGTGTAAACAACAAAAAATCTCAACGATAATGTCCACTGAAAAATTTCCGATAAATATTCAAGACAAAGAAACTACACGTGTTTAGTCTCGATCAACCAAATTCCATAAAAATTGAAACAAAACTAAGACTAGATATACGAGACAAATATTCGCCTTGTCCCTTTTTGATAAAATGCAAAACCGACAAATTAGATAAACATGTTTTTAGTAGCCACTAGATAAAAATTAATCTCATTTTAAATGTTACTCACAAAATCTACTTTTACATACCAAATCAAAACCCGAAAAATAAAAATATAAAAATACACGACCAACATTTACGCAAACCGGAACCTAATTACAAACGAAACGTACATTTCACCTTCATTAAAATCGCCCCGTTAGGCTAGTCATATCGACCTTCCTTAACCTACATAATTATAACATATCAAACAAAATGCAACCGAGCGATGCACTTTCCATAGCATTTTAAAGATGTTCCGAATCTTGAAAAAGGTGGTCCGACTCGTCTCTATAAAAAAATAATCTTTGGTCCAAGTTGTCACAT